TGATTACTGTGATATGTTGGTCATTTCCACTAATGACGTCATGTTTGTTTTGCCGAAAAGCATCATGGTATTGAAAGTATCAAGATGGCGGACGTCTTTTAAAACCTACGAAAAAGGAAGTGCGAAATTCCTGACGTTATTCATTGTTTTCGTAAATGCGAACTTCACTTCGTTCGCCTCCATCGACTACATAATTTTCCTTTTTCTTGTCCGCTCATCAACAACAAGGACCAATCAGGTGCCGTGTAATATGTGCGCGCGTTGTGATTGGTTGTCTAAAAATAGATTATCGCTCAGGGCCATTAAGGCATGGCTTTTGGAAAAAATATGAAATATTGCATCGATTTATTGTAGAAAATCGGTATTTGAATAGAATCTTACAATACTCCGCCAGTATCCGTATTTTGGTAAATGGAATTTTTTTAGCAGTTATTGTTGCCATAGAAACCAAACCACGTGACCTCAGAGCCGCCATCTTGGATTTCTTCTTTGAAGCTCTTGGAGACAATCACAAACCGTATAAAATGGTATAAAAATGCATATTTGAATACTCCTAAGAGTATTCTATATAGATCTAATTGGATATTTGGGTTACGACTTGGAATAAATTTTCCTATATTTTTTTTGTCATTTTTTGAAAATTCTTTATAAAATTTCAATATGTCTTTAAGACTATTCCTTGTTTTCCAATTAGATCAATATAAAGTACGCAAATACCTGTTTGAACGTGCATTTTTATGTGATTTGATACTGCCCGTGATGGTCTCCATGAAGCTCAAAGTAAAAATCCAAGATGGCGACCTGAGGTCACGTGATTTGGTTTCTATGGCAACAAAAACTGCTAAAATAACTTCGTTTGTCAAAATACTGATGTTGGCCAAGTATGAACATATTTTATTCAAATGGCGATTTTATACAATAAATTTATGTAGTATTTCATATTTTTCTGTGAGCCATGCCTTAAAGGCACTGAGCGGGACATCTGATGGTGTCGATATTATTGGGGAGATGGACACCTCTGGTTATGTACTTCTGAGAAAAGCGAAATCTCTTCTCATGGTCCTTTGTCGGTTTTATAAGATATCCGCCATCTTGACCATTTTATCAATACCATGATGCACTTCGTCAAAACAGGCATGACGTCATTCATCTCTTTTATTTTTAATACAACAATGCATTGTTTATGGTTTTTTGTCAGTCGAGGGGACTGGGAACGCTGATATTACTCTTCGATGTAAGGGCTCTATATCCGTGACAAGAGTACATGCGTTTGGGATTCCCGGGGACAAGAAGTCCATTACATCCTTCAACAATTACTGCAAGGCGAACCTGAAGAAATTAGACGCCACTAATATCTGTATAGTTAGTCTCAAACGAGTATTTAAATCTCAGTATCCTCCTTTCATCAAGACTAAAGTTAGTTATAACTGCAAGTATGTCACGCGAGAGCCTGCGTGACGATGTCATTGCGTGACGAGAAATAGTGTTGATTTTTCTTGACTTTTAGGATCATTTATGATTGAAAAGCTACAAATAGATATGTTTGTAAGAATCGTTAATCTTTGATAATCTGTATCAAAATGACGAATGGAATATAGTATAGTATTTTTTAAATGTTTGAATTTCTTTCTTTCTTATCGATGTCACGTTTCACGATTACAGTCACGTTTGACTATTTCAATATCCTTTTAAAAAAAAACACAAACAATCTTCACCCATGTGCCTACCTTCCGAAGATAGTCATTTGGTTGGTTGGTTGGTTGGTTGGTTGGTTGGTTGGTTGGTTGGTTGGTTGGTTGGTTGGTTGGTTGGTTGGTTGGTTGGTTGGTTAGTGGGTTGTTTAAGTAGTTGGTTGGTGGGTGGGTGTGTGTGTGGGTGGGTTGGTTAAGTAGTTGGTTGGTTGGTTAAGTACTTGGTTAGTTTGTTGGTAGGTTAGTTAGTTGGTCGAACTTGAACAATGATTGTTGTCTTTTGATGGTTGGACGGTTAGGTGGTTGGTTAGTCGGTTATAAAATACACTGAGAAATAAAGCAACAGAATAGTGCTTAATTAGAAGGAGGTTATTCTGGGAGAAAGACCCTTGGAAATAAATTCGGAAAAATTAATTTTTTATCTTGCTGGGATTCGAAGCGAGATCGGAAATTAACTGATTTTTCCGAATATATTTCCAAGGTTCTTCTCCCGGGATAACCTCCTTCTAATTAAGCACAATTCCTTTCCTTTATTTCTATATCTTGTTTATTGTAGTGCCATGCGGTCCTCATGTTCATATCTGTAGTTGGTTATAGTTTATTTGTGGCTGTGGGGTTTTGRGTTTGAGTTTTATTTGGTAACGTGGGGTCTGTTGGGTATATGGATTTACTGGACGGTGTATTAGTTATTTGGTTGGTGTGCTAGATGGTTAGCTCGATGGTTTATGTGTAATTTGTTTGCGAGGTAATTAGTGGGTTAGTAAGTTGAGTGTTTTTTTTAATAAGATGGTTAATTGCATGGATTAATATAGTTCTTCAACTAGTGGGGTATCACGTTAATCAAGTTTTTCAGAGTTGCATGCATTTGCTGGTTGCATGGCTACAACGATTTCCACCGTACCAAGTTAGTTTAACCAAATCAKTAGTTGCATGRGTTGACTGTTCATCATTCGTGTATTTCCCTCTTGCAATAATACATTGTCTATGGTTTGTATCAGTTGAGGGAACAGGAAATGACGACATCACGCTTCAGTGTAAGGGTACCATGGCCGTGACAAGRGTACACGCCTTTGGTATCCCAGGAGACCAGAAAGCTGTCTCGGCCTTCAACAATTACTGCAAGGCGAACATGAAGAAATTAGACGGCACTAACATCTGTATAGTTAGTCTAAAACGAGTTTATAAATCTCAGTATCCTCCTTTCATCAAGACTAAAATTACTTATAACTGCAAGTATGTCACGCGTGAGCCAGCGTGACAATGTGAYTGCGTGACGARAGCAAGGTATTGTAAKTGTCAGGAAGAGGGCCGGAGACCTAAAGAGACTTAAAGTTGTCAAAGTGTAGAGTATATTTATATCAAAACATCATAAAATAATAAGCAATTCTAAGAATAGACCAGAATCAAGAATCAGGTTGTGCAAATTACATAGTACTGATGCTTGCATCGCAAATTTATTAATATAAAGTAAAATTATTAAATTATGAAATGTCAATACTTTGCACCCAGAGTCTCTCTTTACCTTCTCGATCATCGTAATAGAGATAGTCATTCTCTTTATTTTGATTTTCTTGTGCATGGTAAAATGTTAGTGTCTATCTGCGATATTAAAATGACTAGCCTCCAAAAAAACAGAAAAAAAAACTATGACATCGGACGTAATGTATTTCTTTTTTTTTCCTGCTTTATCTGTTGCCTTATCGATGAGCTAAGTTTTAATAGCACGAGGATGACATTGTGTTTTCTAGAAAAACATGTTGTGACGCACTTTAAATTCTAAAATACACCACTGAACAAAAGTCTGCCATGGTTATTATCAAAATCCTAGTTCAATAAAAGAATGGGTAAAATGCGGATGAATGGAAATAGATAAACAAATGGTTAAACTAGGGATTTTCATTATCAAAAAACTAATGAAACGGCCGTCGGCTCAGTGAATTTGAGTTCAGAAACGTATCAAAATAGTGACCTGAAGAAATGATATTGCTTCGTGTTTTTACCATTGTATTTATTTAAACTACACCAAGAATGAAAGACTTTCCTGTTTACAAAATAATTCCATCTTTTTCGCTATCAATTCACTTAGGCTGTATTTTTTTATTATTTTTTTTATTTTTTTTGCCTCCCACGGCCGTCCTTAACGTTTACTTCCTTAGTTGTATAAGTGTCCCTGCTCTATAATTCAATTTCTATACAGCTGCCTAAGACACGTAGACAAATATCAGTATKTTGTTAGAAATCCATATATTTTGTGTTTGTCTTCCGGTGTGGAGATTTGTGCACTTGATATCACGACCATTTCGCAATTTTYCTGGACTCCAATGACATCATATGTGTTTTTTAATCAAAGTATCAAGTTACTGGATGCCTAGGACGGTTTTTTCCCCCGTTTTTGCTAAAATAACGATATCGAAGATCGAAAATCCAAAAGACGAGAATTAAATATCAATCAAATGCCTACGCACTAGCKTATTCTAAAAGACCTCTCTGCGAAATATTTTTTTAATTCTTATTTACGAGTCCAAACCCTGAAACATCAGCACGAACGCAAAACAACAACATATACTTTTGCCAATCACATGTTGCTTCTCGCCAACGCCATAAAAGAGTCATTCAAATCCTGAACATTCTGAACTAATGTCGAGTCCAGCGGACTGCTGAGAGGGCGGCAAGACTTCCGCTCCGCTGTACGACAAAAGTGCAGGCTCTGCACAAATTGTTACGAGATTTTAATCCTGGACTTTATGCTCGTTTTCAATCATGAGATTCACAAGATAAACGACCGGCGCCAATGGTAGATGAACAAACAATAGACACKAAAGAGAAATCCTTTGTCGAAGTTCATTCAAGATGGCCGCTGTGACGTATAGTGAAGACGAAGAATACCTGATGACCGGCCATAATTAATAATGGCGGATCAAACACGAGTATAGTTGCTTTATCAGTGAATCTAAGTTTTTAATCTGTCTTTGTATGCTAACAAACAAACGCGAGTGTATAATTTAATCAAGATTCAGAGGTTATTATGTGATGAGTTTGCTTACAGCTTAAATCAAGTTTTCCCGGTGTGTCAACTCACTTCCTTCTTATGCTCATTAATTATTTATGAATCGGGGATGGTCGATGAAAATCGAATTAATTCTAGGAATTTCATTTCCCTAATATTCTGTTTAAAAAGGGCTTATATCTTGCCATGTGTTATACAAGCAAAATTTTGAATTCAGTAATGCTTGTTGGTCCGCTTATCATTTTCAAGTTTTCATCGTCAGCGAATCGGTCGGGTTAAAAGACTGTGCCTTTTGCTCGTTTATTTGACAAAAAACATTATTGAAAACAAAAGAAAACAGGAAAAAAATGTTGTTATCTGATTAGTCCTATATTTTTGAATTTTTCCGACTTTACATTAATCCCCTAAAGCCAAAGATCTTACCAAGTTAAATCCTTCTGAGAATAAAAACTTGAAATCGGGCAAAATTCACTTACGTAAGCAGGCCATTGCAAAGACTTTTTAGCGTGCTTTCTTTTGTTTTTGGAAACGTATTTGAGCAAGGGTACGTGGCCAAATAAAGTAGCGGTCCGACTTGCTTTTCCGACCGTGAAACAGGTATCCSTCTGGCAAGGAACTTGCCAAGGGAAGGACAATGCGACCCATACCGTTGATCCTAGTGGATTTCGATCTACAATCAATGCAAACCTGAATAATTTTAGCGCGATAAAGCTGAGGACCAGCTACTCGTCATGAAAAAAATTATCATTGAATTTAATTGTGAAAGGTAACTCATAACGTTTGACTTAAATTTTATTTAGTGCCTTAAATTTCAAACCAGTCAAGTTGTTTCGTCATAGTGCCGCCTGAATGGCGTCATATTATGACGTACAGTGGGATTGTATATGTGTTATTGATGTCATTATAGTTTTTATGGTGTGGGGGAGTATCCATTCTCTCTGGTAAATTCAGTGACTTACTTGAAATATCGTGAASTATTCCTTGAATAATCAGGGTTTTAATACTACTTTTATGGAATAGTATCATTGTATTTGTAAAAGGCTATTGAAAACTGTTGTTTAATTGGTATTATAAGACTCAAATTTATTCAAACAAATCGTTTAATTGCACCAAAACACTATTAATTTCTCTTAATTCCGCGCGCCCTCAGATCGATGGTTTGCCCACTCAATGGAAAAGGAAGTGGCCACTAGAACATTCCACCCGAACTAAAATCTGCGAAAAAAAAACCTCCTCAACATTTAGACTTTCTATATAATAGTTATTAAAACATGTCTTTTGAAATATTTCAGGGCTTGACTGAAAATAAATTTGAAAAACCGCCGAGTTTAAACAAACCAACTTCGATTAAATTCACACTGACTGCACGCAATTAGTTTCAATGAATATCCACAAACCAGAAGGAGGAACCATTTCAAAATATCATGTTTCAAATCTACCAGAACATTGTCGCAAGCAATATCATGACAGACTTCGTATTTTGATTGATAGCTTCAGAATTGAAAAAGATAAGCCTGGAATGGTAGGCGTCGCCGCTGTCAGACAGGAGGGAAATCTCACTCTAGAGCTTCAGACAAAACAAATTTGTTTTGCTAAAGAATTGACTAGTTAGACCTAAAGAGGACAAGAAAGGTCTTTATAAAAGCTGASTATTGTTTTCTCATTTTTTCGTTCTTTCGTGTGGATTTTTGGTTTCGGATTGGCGTCATCACACCTTAATCAATATTGCGCCATCACATATTCAAATTGCTTTTCAATTGCAAAAAGAATGAAAGAAATTAGTCAAGCACTTCATTAACTTCGCTAAGTAATAAAGACTTTGAACTGCGCTTAGAGGAAATTTAGAAAATATCCTTCCCTTTTGGTAAAGAAACTCGACTGTTTTTTATTGAATTTCCGTGGGTGAATCGCGGCATGTGATTTTGTACCGCACTAAGATAAAACTATGATTGATAGGAATAAGACGTTTCATTCCGTGATGAAAAACTTTCATTTTTTAATMAAATAGAGTGAATGATTTTTTAAAAGTGATTTCTCTKCYWCCTCGCATCAGGGTTCTGTTTTAAAAGATTATTTACACAAGAGTCGCAATTGGCTTCAGTGCATAGCCAACGGTCTATCTACACGCTTTAAAAGTGACGAAAAGACACTCGAATYTACCCGGCATGGCTATTTACTCAAAATAGCTTTTACTGCAACTGAGTGAAGGAAATTACATCACGTGCGCATCAGAGCGGGAAAATGATCACGTATTATCACTAATGGTTATTCATGAACAAATATTGAAGTGATTTTTATTCGACTTTCAAGGTATTATAAAAGATGTAGATTAGCGGCATCTACCGATAAACATCGGCAAATAAGGGGAACGGAAAATAGCAATAATACTAGACAAAAACTATATAAACTCGATCGCATAAAAACCTTGTGAGGGTTTGAAAAACAAGCTGTTGGCCTTGAATATGATTTCTAACCAATCCGCATCTAATCATTCTAATACAGATGAACGCTCAACGAATAATGTGTCCAAAAGACTGCAAACTACGGCGTATGTATTGATATTTGTTCTGTCAGTTGTTGGAAATTCCCTTGTTTTGATAGTAATGAAGAAGAACCTGAACGGAGCGCGGAAAATCGTCACAAACCTGCTAATAGCGCATTTGGCCACGGCAGACATYGTGACTACAATATTCGGAATTCCTATAATGATCTGGAGAATTTGGAAAGGTGAAGAGTGGTTCAATGAARGTCTTTTTGGAATAATTCTCTGCAAGCTTGACCCATTTATACTCGAGACAGCATTTGCTATGTCTGCATTTACAATTACGCTAATCGCGTTTGAGAGATTCTTGGTTATTTATTATCCAACAAGGAAAGTCCTCTCTTGCAGTAGAGCTCTTCGAGTGGGCTTAATTATGTGGCTGATTGCTTCTCTGTTTTACTCCCCTAAACTGTACACTCTAACCATTATCAAGTATGGCAACATTGCAGTTTGTTCGGCACTGGATCATCTAATCTATCCATGGAGGAAAATAGAGATTTTCATGTTTCTTATTTTATTGGTTTTGACATTAATTTTCTATCTCGCAATTATCGTCAAAATCCGTATGTATCATAAGGCACAATTATCGAGTCCTCAGACAAGACAACGTTTAGCCTTGCGAAAGAAAATGAATCGACGCGTTCTGTTTCAAAGTTCCACTATAGTTATAGTTCATTATTTTTGCTGGATGCCGTATTTATTTATCTACCTATCATGCCTTCTCTCAAAATCGTCTTTAGATTTGTGTCACAATAAGATATTGATTCGCTTTTTCGCTCTTTATTTTGGTTATTGTAACGCGGCTGCTAATCCACTCATATATGCAACATTAAGTGAAACRTTTCGATCAGGGTTCCGCCAGTTACTGTGTCAGGTCGTGTCTTGCAGCGATAAAGTAAACAGTCCTACAAGAATCCATGAAGATCGCCATCGTATTGCAGCTTTAGTGCCAATACAACACCGATTTTTTCAGCAGAAAAGCACAGATTTAGATGTCGCCAATCCTCCGAATGATAATAATCGTATCAATAAAGAATCCAATCGTGAACGAATGGAAATGAGACGATTACAAACTCSATGAAGATCAGGACGAAAAGAAGGTTTGATCTATAAGCCGCAAATACCGAAAAACGACTTTGTATTATGAATTATTTATTAATGTGCTAGTCATACTAACTCAGTAAATTTGAACATTATGAAAATATGCAGTTATAAAACTGATGACGTATAGCGCGTGGGGAAAACATTGGATGATGAGAGAGAATATCATGCTGACTGATTTTTATTAGCAAAACATCTTTTATTAGACTAAAGTTACATTTGCTCGACTGCTCCCATTTCAATGCAGCTACCCATAATGCTATGCATATGCTTATAAGATAGTTGCTGCTGAGCCCGAATGTGTGACCAACGCGGGTTGTTCAAAGCTCGATTAACTCCTATAAAAAAACAATGGTGTCCGTTAACCCTCGGGCTATTAATGCTAATCGAGCTTTGAACAACCGAAAGCAGATCTRCAAGTTGTCAATGAATAAAATAATATATAAATGAATAAAATATGCTTAAAAGATGAAACCGAATTTATCTGAATCAAAATCTAAAAGTTTCCTTAAAATAGCGCTATTCCCAAAATCTTCGCTTTACACGGGCTTCCTTTTCTTTCTTTCGGAGMATATCTGTTCGTGTTGGTGCTGTTATAGTATAGGAAGCGCCTGCGTTTGCCGACTGTCTGCAGTTTTTTTTTACTTGTGGGCTACCTGTGCTGCTCTGAAAAATCCAAGATGGCGGATTATTGAAAAAAGACTTTTAAACACAGAAAGATGTTCTTTACTTTGAAGCTCAAAAYAGTTCTAGAAATTGAAACCTTYGAAAACGTAAACGACTTGACTTACMCTTGGGAGTACAATCAGCAAACACAGCGCTACAGAACAAAAACATCACAGAGGTTCATCTTTTCAGCAACTGAACAAAATAAGTAAACAACTACGTAACAACAYAATCAAACCTAAACTAAGGATAACAGTGTTGTCTGTACTTCTCTATGGCGCAGAATGGCGCAGAGACTAGCAGGATTCCATTTCCCTTTGGAAGATATGCAACAACTATTGGCCAAACAAGATATCGAAATGTGAATTATATGAACGCACAGGTCAACTGGGTATCATGACGCAAATCAAGAAAAAACGCTGGAAGTGGCTGGGGCACTTGATAAGGAAAGATCAGGAGAGCATTACTAGACAAGCACTGAAATGGACATCGGAAGGCGTGACTGAAAAGGAAAAGAGGTTGACCAATGAAAACGTGTAGNTATTCCTTAATTAAAAGGTTTCCTTTTGGCGAAATCAATTGGGTTATACTGATAAAAATGGAAAAGGCAAAACACGTACAGCGCCTTGTAAAAATCCTGTCATTTTTAATAAGATTTCTATTATACATATATCGGGTGCATTGTGGTTGATTTTTACTAGAATAGTGAAAAAAACCGTTTTCTAAGTCGTAGAAATCGCTAAATATGTTTGCTTATATGTTATTGTAAATTTGATGTAAATATGATGTAAGTATCCAAAATTCTGTAAATTTAATGGAAATGATTTACATCAAATTTAAAGAATTTTGGACACTTACATCATATTTACATCAAATTTACCCATTAAATTTACAGAATTTTGGACACTTACACCATATTTACATCAAATTTACAACCTTTAAAGCGCGCGATTTTTTCCAGTGACCCTGTGGCTGAAAAACTCCCAATATGGAAATGCCTTCCACAAAATTCACAAGTTTTCKCAGTCGGCGAAAAGTTGCCAASCAACATGTAGACAATTCTTACCCCCTTCTGAATATTACATGCATCAGTCSAGGCGATCGAACCTTGGATCACCAATCCTCGGGAGGGCTGGGGTATTAATACATCTTAGTGGCCACCAAACAAATCCAAAGAGATCGMTTTGGGGTGTGCCGGCTTCTCTTGATTATCAAGTTATCAAATAACTTACACAAATTGTTTAGACCAGACTGGCTCTTTGTCTCTTCGTTTGTAGTTACAATGCTTACAAAATTGTCACGTACACCTCAACGGCAGGGATCAATGCACTCCCCATATAGMTAGTCTTCAAAATCTTATCATTCAAAAGAGACATTAACTAARTTGTTCCGGCGATTCTGATGAAATATTTARATGGAGTCTCTTGGAATTACAATGAAATACAATATATCTTTACTTTATTTAGTAYCAGAATTTGTGTCCGCTTCACACAGAAGTGCTGAACAGCGTGTTTCCTTTTGGAGAAAAGTAATTTTCACAAAGACGTCATGCATGTGCACTTAATGCAAACAATTCTACAGTCTTTCTAAAATTGGATGGAATTTAGTTTGAACTGTAACTTTGAGCTATTTAATTTCTTTTTCAATTTGCGCGCACAGTCTAATCTCCTGTTGAAAGAAAATAACTAGAGTCAACCTACGCAAGTTATGGAGTGAAGGAAAAACACACGTTGCACAAATCTCGTGCGTGTTGCATAACACCATGTTTCACGTGCATCACATTCCCGTGTCATCCCAGTTTTTCAATTGAATCTGATGATGAGATGAGAGTGTTTTGTGCGTCGTGAACCAGATGGGAAAACAAACATTCATATCAAGATGACTAAGATATGAAAAGATGCATTTAATTTTCTGATGGGCAGTCCCATAGTTCTCTGGGTGTTTAATCTCCTGAACTTGCTTGAATGGACGGGTTAATTAACCGGAATATGGACCAYGTAATATACTACATTAGTATGTGAACCATTGATAGATATATAAATGAGGAATCCCATATTTTATTCAGATACATAGCATGAACTGATGTCTCGTAAACTCGTAAACTGAGTGAAACTAGTCTAAAAATGAACAAGAAGCTGATATRATAAAGAAAATATGGAACTAAGAAGGGAGAAATAAGAAAGATTTAAAATAACTTTTAAAAGCCCAAAGCGATGAATAAATTTTAGGGTCATTCGGCCAACGCATTTCCAGCAAAGGTGTTCGCTTTGACACAAGGATATTTATTMAGTGTTCCAGTATTGCCGTTCCRGATCTGTGCTCCAATGTCCTTCTATCATGGTATCAGACTTTGTATCGAACACTTATATTTATGTTCTTTMGCTATAAGAAAGTGAAAAAAGCCCTCAAAAATAGCAGACATTAACTTCCGCATCCGACGCATAGCAAGAAAACGCCCCCAACACAAATTAACTGATAGCAACAGCAACCATTGATAATTTTAAACTTTCTATTACAGGTTGTGCATTACTATATATACTATTTGGTAATTGTCTTATTTCATGCTCAAAGCTGTATTTTTGCTCCAGGACTTCATCGTTTTKTCAAGACTTTATTGTRAGATTCATATTCTKAAATTGAGTCWGAAACGCCGTTAATTACGCWTCCGGCAGCTCGATAACAAAAGACTAAACACTTTGCCAATTGCTTGGTTCACAATGGTATATYTATATGAAGACGAGTCAGATTTAGTCTAGCATTTAGTCCGTCTTCTTGTTGTACTGACTGCGACTTTTATACAACATACAAATGGACGAAGCCATTGATCATTTCWKCCCGCACGYTTACAGCGTCATCACAATAGTCATGTGTGTGATGTTTTCATTTGGTTTTATTATCCAAATCATAGCATTGCTTGTTTTTACTAGAAAAACKTTCCGAGAGATGAAACTAACTGCACTGTTTGTCAATGTCATCGCGGCCAATCTCATCATCCTTCTCGTTGAGGGTCCGTTACTCGTGACCTCATCAAGTCACGGTCAGTTTTGGCCTGCAAAGTCTTGGGTATGCAATCTAAGAGGTTTCACTTGTGGGGCAGCAAGTATCAATATGATTGTCTCTCTCCTTTGCATCGTCACAAAACTCATCTCCCTCGTCAAATCTGCTAACTGCAATCGTTGGATACCGAGTGATAGCTGCATGATTGCCGTGTCCTGGGTTTACAGCGTGCTGTGCATGCTTCCTCCCTTATTTGGGTGGAGTAAGTTTCACATTGATCCAAGCGGACTATCGTGTGCTATAGACTGGTGGACGCAGACYGTCGGCAACGTTTCGTACGTGGTGATATTATCCGTTATGGCCTTCCTCCTRCCTGTTAGYTATCTGGCATTCAACCTCTACACTCTTCGGGAATACTTCCAAAATCAACAAAATAGCGCTTCTGGTGTGGTAAACAGACATAGAGAGGCGTACAGGTTTGACCCTTTTATATTAGTCTTGTATATTTTAATRTTTTAATGCCCCATTTTGAAAAATCCTGGACACATCACCTGTTGTTTCGTCCTGGATTTTTCAAAATTGGGCGAGTCAATTTTAGTTTCTCATTTTCCCAAAACGAACCCAAAACGAACGGTTAATGTTTTCTTTTTGTCTTTTTTACTAAAACAAAACACTCAAAAGCACAAACAGGCAGTCCATGTAGACTTTGAGCTCGATAAAGAACCATTGGTGGACAGTTTTTTTTAATATGATGCTCGAGGGGTATAAAAATTGATATAAAAATCATTATTCTAATCAAATCACCACACTACATTTTTAGTATTTTCTTAGTTTATACAGGAATTGTAAACGCCAAAGAAATTCATTTATATTGATTGTTCACTCCAAAATAATCCAATAAAACCATCGCTGCAGATATTATTGAAGGTGCACTCCAGAGCTTAAACTTAAAGACTCGTCTGCTTGTGAGGCTATCAGCTACTTGTCATCTGATCGAACACATTTTATGATGAAATTATCTAGTTATCCCGGACATCAGAAACCAAAACGTGCCTACTTATTCACACCTTCAGCCCACGTCCTCTTGAGCAACAGTTTTACGACGCGTTTATAGGACGAATTCGAGAATTCGAGAATCGATACTTAAAAACATACAACGAACACTTACCTTTCTGTACGCTGTGCATAGGAAAAGCGGRCTCAGTAGAGGGATAACGGCTTTTTCAGCATTCGATGGTGGTTTATCCCGGTTAACTGTTTACCTTACGATATAAACGAACAAAAGTCTTTAGCAAGGCGTCGGGCCATCTACAGAATTATTGTCTTATAGTTAGTTCTATGCCAGTTGGACAGATTTAGAATTTCAGTGTTTATTGCATTTTGTATTTGATGGAGATTTTTCAATGCGATTTTCACCAATTGTTTTGAACAGGTCCAAAATGAATATGGTGCTATTGGCCTCGATGATGTTTGTTTTATTCTGGCTTCCTTACTGCGTGTGTGGGRTCCTCTCGATTGCTGGAAAGGCACACTGGTTTACGAGGAATGCTATCAGCGTTGTACCATCCTTGATTGCCAAGAGCAGTTGCATCTATGCTCCAATCTTGTACTGCCTGTCAAATCAAARGTGAGTAAAAAGTGTAAAAAATGATGATAATTTCAAGAAGCACTGTTAAAAGTAGCAACATAAAAACTTACATAGTTTATAA